CCTAATGTGAATATAGACGTCCTCCCCCCGCTAGACACCCAGTGGACGAATTCGAATTTGAACTAGAGCACGCCGGTTGCGGCAGAGCGCGGCACCGTCAAATTCGTTTAAAGCTCTTGCAGTGTTCTTTTGTATTTCTCGTCTTTGCATGGTGATTCATTTATCTCAATGGCGTTTGTAATCAGAATTGACGAGTTTGTTGTTGTTTAGCGATGTTTCATACCTTATGCTTCTCTCTAGCTCTATTTCCAAATAAAGTTGAAAAAACAGCACGAAACATTCCTCAAAAGCAATACAATCTCCAATCTCAACTAAGAAGACTGTTAGCATTCTAAAAATTGCATAAAACGTCGGAGAAATGCAAAGAAAAACTTTGAGTTTGAATAAAAAGCCGAATGTGCCGCGCTCTGCCGCAACCAGAATGCTCCAGTTCAAATTTGAAATCGTCCACTGGGTGTCTAGTGGGGGGAGGACGACTATATTTAGCGGTTCATAATCATACGAACACTTCAAACAAAGGCCCATTTTTCATTTAAGATTGCACTCTTTCGAGTACAAATTTTTTATAGAGTTACAGTAACAAAGTCCGAAATATTTGCTACACACTGAACCCAGTGCAGCTCAAAAAGAGAAGCAATGCTCTTTCCAGATGGATTTGCATGCTTTTGGAACCATTGCGCTCCAAAAACATTTGTTTTTCTGTGATTTATGCATTCTAATTAGCTTCTACCAAGGCTATGAGATAAGATAAGCTCTTTCGATAGGTATTTTGTTTGACGCTTGAAAAACCTATGCGTTTTCGTGCCGTTTTTCAACCAAGTTCCAACTTTAACCTAGAGTTAGCACGACTTTGAGCCTCAAAACTCAGCTTCTGAAGCCCTACAATGAAGTAAGCACATGGTATGTAGAGCACAAACTGTGTATTTGGGTAGAAAAAATCAGCAGCGCTGAGCGTTTTGTTTTGGACACGCAGACGTTATTTCACCAGACCACTGTACTATTGCAATCACACCTTTATTTGGTTTGTAGCTCCAAAGCCTCATCAGTTCTACAAAAAATCCAAAAACTTTGGTACGGATACATCATCATGCAAACAATGCCGCAGCTTCATATCAAATGTTTGCGTGAGAGAGAAGCTGAGTTTTGAGGCTCAAGATCGTGTTAACTCTAGGGTAAAGTTAGAACTTGGTTGAAAAATGGCACGAAAACGTAAAGGTTTTTCAAGCGTCCAACAAAATACCTATCAAAAGAGCTGTTTTATCTCATAGCCTTGGTAGAAGCTATAGAGTGCATAAGTCACAGAAAAGCAAATGTTTTTGGAGCGCAATGACTCCAAAAGCATTCAAAGCCATCTGGAAAGAGCATTGCTTTTGTTTTTAAACTGCACTGGGGTTCAGTGTATAGCAAATATTTCAGACTTTGTTACTGTAACTCTACAAAAAATTTGGACTCGAAAGATTGCAATCTTGAATGAAAAATGGACCTTTGTTTGAAGGTGTTCGTATAATTATGAACCGCTAAACATTCACATTAGGCCCAAAAACACTCATAAAATTGACACCGATTTCCATTCTTATGGCTCATATATCGTTTTCGGCTGTGCTCTATCGCGGTACCAAAGGCTTTTTGAGTTTCTTCCAAAAAGTCCAGAAACTTTCAAAATTTGGGGTGTTCGTATAATTATGGACCGCACTATTGTGGACCAATAATTAAAGGTGCTAGACTGCATTCACGCGCTTCGGGACCGCCACGCGGTTTCCCGCTATATGCAGATTTTTGAATTGAGTTAACGAATTTTATATATTAGATAATTAGGAGATAGTGCTTTGTATTGAGTATCAAAAGAGGTAGTATTTACTTGTAAATTATAGTTAACCGTGCTTGAAAATGTCCACTTCACTCGGATCGGGATCCCTCAGAACTCGTTAAAACTTGGCTTACAAGTTATTTTGCATGATCATCACAAATATGTGACTAATTATGCATGGTAGAGCCTTTATGTTATGCCTATGGAAGGCAAACGATAATGCTGGTGGAGGGAGGGGGATGTATTGAGACAGAAGATAGGGAGGGGGGGGGGTCGTATCCGGCTATTGTGTGCCACACCTCTTGTTTGACCCTCGTTACTAACAGTCAAACGGTAGGCACTTCTTTTTGGGACACCTTGTGATTTTGCCCTTTGCTTCTCCTCTAATTAAAGTGAGAACGATGAAGATGTCGATGAAGATCTAATATTACATTTTGATCGAGCTCAAGCAAAACCGATTACAAAGACCTATTCTTCCCGATCGCGGACAAATTGTAGGAAATGAAAAAAAGTTTGGAGCATTCTGTTGAGCATACGCAAAAGCTAATCAATCTAACTTCCACATTTACTCTCTTCTCTAACCCCCTCAGGACAATGTACCTATAATGAACGTTGGAAATCCTTACCTAAGGTAAACGTTGCAAAGCCTTACCTAAGGTAAACTTTCATTATCCCGTCTAGATGATCTGGAAGTCATGGACACTGTTTTGCTAGACACGGGTGTTACAGCCCTTGCAGTCTGCGGCGGTGTTGTCACTTCTGGCAGCACCGGTTGTGGAAGCACAGTTCGTTTCTCTATAGAGGCCTTTGGCGCAGCCTTACGACGCATCGGCTTTATTGATACTGCGGCGCCGGTGATCTTCACGCCGGCATCAGCAACACGTGCGTCGGCATTGATTCCATCGGTGCTCGAAGCTGACCTAGCAGATGATTGTCCCACTATCATCATATCAGCACCTGTGTAAGGCCTGGATTGAGGGTTGAGTTGGGGCTGTTGTACAGGCGTTGAGACGATGCCTGCAGGTGCTAAGGACAATTGTGTTTTGCCTAGAGGTAACTGAGTACGTGGTGGAACTCCTAATGGCACTTGATCTGTATCAGCTAGGACTGGTGCAGCACCAGCGTTCCTAACTTCCTGTGATTTTTTAGGCGGTGACTTTGCTGATAATATCGCATTCTCTCCTGCTGTTTGAGGAAGCTGGCCCTGTAACTTGCAGTTAATTGCTAGAATCCAGTCTTCGTAAGCAAAACTTACCACATTTTTGGCATACGGTGTTTCCAAAGTGGATACGTTTCCTGCTGAAAGTAAATAATATTTTGTTTCAAAAGAATTTGCTGTGAAAGTGACTTTGTCGGAAAAGACCTGAGAACTGCAGTTGTTGCAATAACGCGTAAAGGTATGGATGCGAACATTTTCAGTCCCTGATGAGTTAGACAAAAATTGAAACACAGACTCTATCAGCGTTATTAATCTAATCATTTGGTTGGTCCTGCATGATGCTATGTGGCAAAATGTATGTTTTTGTTAACTTTAATAAATTCTACTGCGGCTTGAATGGGAAGTAAAATGTATAAGCGTAGTAGTTAGTTGACCTACGTGGTTCTTTTGGACGTTTTGAAAGGCCACCGATGTACATCTGTTCATTCTGAAAAACAACATCGAATTTGCATAGTGGAAAAATTATTGCGTAAAAATCATTACCTTGAAAGCGATTTGCGAATAGTCTGGACATGGCTTCATCGTTCCCAACGTCACACCCTCAAAGGAAAATAATATAGTCATAACTTATAATAACGGGCTAAGGATTGTTTGCGTGTTTTTGTGTGTTGTCTCTGAATGTCTGTCTGTCACGAAATTCGTAAAGCGAGTTCTAAGTCTTTAAGGTCTAGACCTAGGACTTTGGCAGTAGCAACCTAGCAGTATGTAGGTAAAATGCGCAAGAGCTCAATCCGATCCGCTAAGTAGAACCTGCTAAAACTGTGCGCCATGCGGGTCCACGCGAACTCTAGCGCGCCAAAGTGGGTCTGTAACAAGATTTTGCCCGAAGTCGTTGATTTGTTTGGCAAGTAAATCCGCAAACCATATAGTCCAGTGAGTAAAAAGTCTACTTTCGGGTTAAGGTTTTACCTAAAAATTTGAAAAGATTTTTGCTTATTTCATCCTTATGGCAACTATCAAGCCATTATAACACCAGCAACTATTTGAAACATTTAATCTTTTTGAGAATACTTTCTTTTACCCAGAGTCACCGATCTTACACGGAAAAGCTTTTAGAATGAGTAGTTGTTTACAATTCATTCGTGATGATCGGCATCGCACGGTAAGTCTCAAAGCCATCAATTTGCGACTACGAGGCCCCCCCCCCTGAAGCATTGATAAAGGATAAAAAATTCGGCGTCTTCAATACCCTCTGCGGGCATGCGCCGAACGCACACTACTTCATAGTCGAAGAGGCGTATTGTATGCGAATAATAAAGAATTGTATGCCTATTACAGTGACTTGCGGCGCCAGCCGTTTACCAATTCAGTGCTTTTATCCTCTCGCAAGGGAAGGATACTCGCAGTGACAATTGGGTAAGCTTTGTATACCCGCGTATACCGTCCCCAAATGGTGATCTCATAACCGCATTCCATAACCGTATTCCGTATCTGCTATGACGTCATTCTGGAGAAGTTATAAAGGATTTTTGTGCAGTGGATAGTGGCTTGGACTGCGGAGCTGGACGTGGGTTCGATTCCTCTGGGATGCCACTCGTTTGCATTTTTGCAAATTCTAGCAGGCAAGTTGCCAAACCTGTCGACATCAAAAAAAGATTTTCACAATATAAAATACACCTCTTACACAACAGTTACTGCGATCAAGTATCCTTCCCTTGTCAGATTGCTCTGGTACCAATTGGCCCGAAGGGTAGAGAAACTTGGTTGGCCCAGGGCGGGGATCGAACCTGAATCCGATCTGATCATAGCGGCCCTTTTACCACTGAAGATAATATGCAGTCACGAATCTCCGTGTTGGGAAACTTCAGCACTACTTGAACATACCAGAAGACGTTAATCAATGAAGCGTAACGAAACGGAATTCGAATGAGTTTACGGCTAACAAGAGAACGATACTTAGTGTCCGTGGCCTTTTGAGAGGAAATGTATACCATTACATCGCCTTCGAACGCTGATCCCAAATCTGATTTCCGCTTCTGCTAAGCGCTTCTTTGCAAGAAGTTATGAATATTTTCGCGCCAAGTTTGGCCGCGCGAGCCAATTAGGATAGGAACACCAATATGGCAACATGTCAACATGCATTCCTTTCCCATTCATTATCAATTTTGGAATAAATGGAATTACTTTTTGGAATAAATGTAGGAAACACTTTTATAAAATGACTCCTCGTTAATTTTCAAAGAGTAAGGACATGCATTTACCTCGAGGAAACCTAATTCTCAAACACAAAAACTTAATTGAGACAATGCAAATTGAAAAATACAAAAGAATCCGAACCTACACCTGCATCAATTGTGAGGCTATCACGATAGCCGCTAACCACAGCTAGCGCCTATATTGGTGTTCTTATCATACAGGCGGCCAAATTTGGCGCTAAAGTCCTTCATAACTTCTTTCAGGGAAATGAGTAGCAGGAACGGAAATCAGATTGGAATCACCGTTCGAAGGCGAGTGTAATGGTATACATTTCCCTTTGAACACATGTCGATTTAGTTGGTAACGATTCAACTGCTTTTCGAAATCTGCTGGTGCGGACAATGTTTGCCGCATTATCCCACGCGATTTTTATTGGCGATAATCTTCTTTTACTATGTCGAGCAAGAAATTGCTCAGATTGGACCGCTGATTCCAAAATCGCTACCTTTGGCTGCGACATATTAATGTGAAGCAAGTTATGAAGATTTTCTGTGCAGAATTGATATGCCACTGAACATGGGAAGACCCTGCAAACACAAGTCTGCCCGTAAAAGATGCTGGGATATCAAAATTCCATTCTGTCGTTTATCATTAACAAGAGACCTAACCCAGTGTATTCGACTTGAACTATTATACAGTAATGCCATCAAGTCGACAAGTATGCTAGTTTCGCTTGCAAGAACTCGCTTCAGAACGATGCACAGCTAGGAACATTACTGGAATCAGAGTCACAAGTTGACTCCAAATATTTATATCTTTTTACAATCTAAGTCAAGTACCTTTTCTTGTTAGCTGATAGTTCTGGAATGATATCCACGAAAGTCCCCGCGAAATGGGCTTTTCGTGCGAATAAAATGGACTTAGTCCATGCGGTGCGATAAGATATCGCATTCGCGAATACATTCATTCCATACAAAAATGCTTCAACTAACCTTTCTCCAACTTGTCTCAACCTGTTTGCTCACTCTTGCAAACTCATTTCTACCAAGTGGTCGATCTCTAACTAGGCTGACCTAACGTTACAATGTCACCCAAGTGGCTATTCTATTCTTTCCCACTTCGTTACACCTAACAGAATGCCATTCGTTATCGATGACTATGCATCTTAATCACTTCCAAGACTAAAAAATTCATGTAATATCCGGGCCTTCGCTTCAAAACTTCTACGAATCAGCATTAAATCGAATTCGTATGTGGAGATTTCTGCAAAAAGCAAACTTTGGCTGGAGTTGCACTGCAATCTGTGAACCAAAATGCTCCTTACAAGAAACCTTGTACTACACTACAACTCAAAGGGTTTTTCAAGTCGCAAAAACTTTGAATCCCAAAAGATGACTTCGCAAGTGCTCTATATTAGCTTTGTCTTTCAGCACTAATATTTGTAACTCTAAGGATTTGAATGTATGGACTAATCTAGTAAGAAATTTTTAACGGAATTTCTCTAGCTAGCTAGCGGCACTTCAGTAATCTTTTGGGATTCTTGCGGATCAAACTCAAAATTGCGTTTAAAATGCCGTCTCTGAAGTTCGGTTCTACGAAATTAGCCAAAGATAGCTTCTAAGTAATCACATTGAAGTACAATCTTTTCAAATTTTAGATTACAAATCATGAATTTGGTTTTGGTTGATGATTTGAAGAGTTAACAAACTTTATTTGTTTTACATAAGAATTTTCTGATTGACCTGATATTAAGAAGCATTTGGATTTGTTAGCGAATATTTGGGCGAATTTGATTTTTTCTATGTTTTTATAGCGTTTCTATGAGTTTAGAAAGAAACACTTATTTTAGACTTCATAAAAGACATGAAACTTTTTCCACTCACCTATTACTTTAGGATAGGTTGAGGAACACATTCCCAAAAAATCGCCCTCAAAAATATGCAAAAAGGTCAAAAATGGGCTTAGTCCCAGCTCACCTTGCTGCTGGGAGTAAAATGGGCTTTCAAGTCCATTTAAAATGGAGGTAAATCCCATTTTGCCCCATTCTAAATGGACTTTTGACGTCATCACTTCGCAAGCGAGAGCTCAGGTAGGGTTAAATCATTTTCATTTCACCGCTTTGCCTCGTGGTTGCGATGGGATGAAAATTTTTGGATAACGCGAGCGAAAGCAGATTCCGACCACTCTCCACCGCGAACGAACAAAATGGGGCTTGAAAGTCCATTTTCCTCCATTATGGACTTTCGTGGATATCATTCCTGATCAAATTACTACCACACCCGCTTCCTTCCCTCGAGGTCACCGATTTTATATGAGAAACTTCAGAGTGAAAAGTTACTTATTTCATTTTATCGTAGAGGTCAGTACTATCCGGTGAGCCTCATAGCAAAATTGCCCATAGGACGAGCACGGAGGACTTGTAGTAGTAGAATCAGTGCAATCCTTTGTGATGGAGGTGGCGCATCAGAGAATTATTACTTCAGTCATGTTACCTCTTTCTTCTTCTCAGGCGTCTTTTTAAACAACATGAGTTCTATCATTTTTTCAGTCGAAGGGTAGCAGCGTTTTGCGCTTTCACTGTAATCGTTTTTTCTGACAAAAAGCAATCATACTCTGCTTGATACCTTTCAGAGGTTAGCCCACTTATCACATCTTCATCAGCTGGTTCAGTGTCTCCGTGAAGGCTTGATTCCGCTTCCGCTGCTTCGGTTTTCTCCTTCAGAAGCGCGATATTAGAATGAGAGGTAATCCTGGTATTGCATAATTTGGAGTACAACTTACAGATTCTCTCCTAATTTTCATTAGAAGGCATACCCAACGGATAGTATACAATAATGCAATTATAGCTAAGAAACCGATCACAACCTGAATTGATTTATGACAGCTGCACACTAAGCACCTGCTGTAAATGTCTTACTATGGCTAAAATTGCCAAGGCGCGGACTTCTTGTTCATGAGATGGCCCGTCGACAACATATACTGCATTATCTGAAGCGGAAGGACCAGGAACTCCCCTGAAAGGTTTGAAATGCGTATGATGTGAGTGAATATCGCTCACCCACCCATTTGACCTCTCACTCATTAGTTAGTTGTAAAAAAGGGATAACCACTTGCTTGGGCCTTGGAGTGGAAATGAAATAATCCATACCCAACAACTTTCTTCGAGGCATATCTCGCGATGGTGGCCAGCATTGCAATAAACGCTTCTTCTTTCAATCGTCTGGCCTAGATTTTGTAAACGAGTTGTTATTGGAAGAGGAAAGCTCGCATAGCCTTCAGGGCCGGGCATACTTCACGCGATCTCAGTCGCGACGCGATCTGGCAGTTCGCCAGAAGTCTTCAGATCCAATACTAGCAAATTGCACATGCATAGTGTGCTTAACTTATGTGGATCGATATAATCCCTTATCTTCTGTACATTTGAAATGTGCTTACAGTGAGTTATGGTCAGTTGGAATACTGCCAATCGCGTCGCGACTGAAATCGCGTGAAGTATGCCCGGCCCTTTCATTGTAGTCACATGAATATCACCTAGTGTCATTACTTATAATAACGAGCTAAGGATGTTTACGTGACTTTGTGTGTGTGTGTGTGTGTGTCTGTTACGAAATTCGTAGAGCGTGTTCCAGCCAACCTTCCGGGCTCAAATTTTGCACATCGCATGCTACCCGCATGAAAGTCGAACATGCAAAAGCACGAGCAGATTCGTTGAGTGGATCCCTCACAAACTGCGTAAACGGATCCGCTTTGCGTTTGGGCCGCAAAATTGGGTGTAATTCCACTTTTTTGAAAGTCGTGGATGTTTGTGCCAAGCAAATGTGCAAGCCATGAAATTAGGCTCAAAAAAGTGATCAAAAGTCCATTTCTTTACAAGAACGGCCCCAAAACGTATTGGCTGCGTAAATGGTCAATTTGCCAATGTTTTACCAGACCATTTGACGAGATTTTTGCATAAAGATGTAGCCCACGGTGACTGCTGTGCTCATTGCAACTGCAAAGACCATGGGAAAATCAAAAACCTATAAAAATTTGCATTTGTTTTCCTGCAAAAAGTCTTATCCACGCGAAATCACAGATTTCACATAAAAAAGTTTCGGAATGAGTAAACATTTTGTTCGTGATAAGCCCCGGACAGACTTCACGCAATTTGATCGTCGCGACTCAATCGCCGACATTTCCATTCATTTTCATTTCACAGTCAAAAATTTCGGGCTGGAAAAGTATCACAACCGAAATGCAAGTTGATCGTCATGGAATGTTGTTGTAACAGTTGTCTCGTCGCGATTCAGTCGCGACGATCAAATCGCGTGAAGTCTGTCCGGGGCCATAGTCGGCATCACTCGGTGAGTTCCAATGCCATCATTATACGAGAATGAGTAGGGCCTAGATATAGAGCCAGTGCGAGCCTCTGCGAAGCAGAGGTGACGCACTGGTAGCTAATAAATGAAAACATTATATGTCATAGCATAATGTTGAGCAACACGACCAAGATGTCAGCTTCTCTTTATCAACTTCGGCCAACGTTTTGGAGCAACCGCCTTTGCCAGAGCCTAGAAATTCGAGTACATAAGGATCTCCTTCCTCAACGCCAATGAAAAAGCAAGATAACTCAGTCGGAAGCTAGTACGAAGGAAAGAACCAGAGCCACGGTTAAGTAATACTCATTTTAATCGTTGCATAGGGGTACGAGGGATCACCAACTAGGCAAGAACTATACCTCTGCCCTATTGTAGTATTGAGGTGACCTGATCTAGCCTCAGAAACCGCAAAGGGCCGATATGGCGCGAGTTGGTTGGTTATTGCAATACACTCTTCCTTCCCGTTCATTTTGATTTTAGCGTTAATCCAAAACGCTTACAAAGCCTAGAACATCGGGTCCGCGAGACAAAATCGAGAATCTAACTTTTATATCGGCACTTTCGTGTTGCTAGCGATGACTACCGAACGGTGTACTGGTCCTTGACTGTTTAGTCCATCTAGATGTTCCTTAAAGCGGCAGCAAAGCGGACGCCCAGATTTGTTTATGTACGCGTCGCCACATGATAAACATATTTTTTTATTTATTTATTCAATACGCTCTTGGCGTTCCTTACAAAAAGAACAAAAAAGAACATGAGTTATTCTTGCAACCGCAATCAAAGTCTACCATGAAGATTAGGTCCAAACTTCAAATTGGTTAAGAATTATGACTGAGCTTGTATGTGACTGCTCTAGATTACACTTGTCAGAGTCTAAAGATGTGATCATGGAGATGTTACCCATGCCCCCATTATTGCCAGCAAAACTCTCTAAGATATTTTATAGCCTAGGTTTGTATGGTGGATATACTCTCACCATATGAGGCAAGTAGGACGAGCTTAATAACTCAAGACCAATCTTGAGTAATATGGAGGGTTATTATGAATCGTATGTGATCGAGAAGATCAGCAAGTTGTTGAAAGCTGTGGAGGTGGTGTTCACGCCTATTCGCTTGCTAGCAGAATGCTCTTGAAGTAGTAAAGTTAGCAAAGCAAGGTTTGGTCGGTAGAGTAGCAAATAACCTTGCCCAAATGATTCCGGGGAGAGACCACTGCTCCGAGAGAATATCGATAGAATTTCACTTATTAACTTAACTAGAGCAAGTCAGCAAGCTTTGCTGATTAAAAGGAAGCAATCGTTGTTCAGACCTGCACTAACATGATGACATGATATGGGTTAGTAGGAAATGTAGAAAGCAAATAATATTGGTAGAAAGACAAGTATCAATGGCCGTATTTGGTCTAATTTGAAGTCCATTCAAGAATTCAATCGCACGTAACCACCTCATCATGGAAAAACAGATGTCGGACTAGCACTATCTGTAAAGATTTCATTTAATCTCAGTGTTTTTAGTTTATTTTTGAAAGAGTTGCTATTAGTGCATGAAAGAACTTCATTAGGTAGTTTTTGTATCAGGTTCATCACACGTTGGAAAAAGTCGTAGTTTGATAACGTTGATTTCTTTCGCCCACCGATTTGCTGATGATAAATAGAGAAACAACTGATCCTTCCGTATGTGGGTCTGAATACCCAGTACTTGGAAGGCCTTAATATGGTCTCCCCTCTAAAAATCCTGAAAGCAAGTACAAGGTCGTGTTCAACTCTACGGTAAGAGAGGCTTTTCAGACCAAGTTTTTTCAAGTGTTCTTCATAATTAGGAAGTGATTGGGGATATTTTGGATTGGGAAAGCAGCGGTAAAACAGAAGTCGTGTGAAAACTTTCTGAACGTTCTCCAGAGACTGTTTGTGCTTCACCAGAGAGGGGTTCCACACCTGATTTGCATACTCTAAGATGGGGATAACAAAAGCTCTGTAAAGTTTTAAAAGTATCTTAGGGTTATCGACTTTGGTGCTACGATATATGAGATAGGTAACAGAAATTGCACGGGAAATAACGGCTTTGATCTGTAAGTCAGGTTTTAGAGATGGGGTAAAAATTACTCCCAAGTCCTTGACATAAGGTCTTTTTTCTAGAATTATACCGGCATGTTCGTATTGAAAATCGTCATTAGTGCCAAAACCGATGTGGAAAACAGAACTTTTATTCACATTGACAGAGATATCCCAGACTTTGCACCAGTCCACCATTAAATTAATGGCACGTTGTAATGCATTCTTGACTGATGTGTGGTTTTCATTGTTATAAATTCCATAAATTTTTATATCGTCTGCATACATGAGTACGTGAACGTCTGGGTGAGTCTTCAGTATTTTAGGTAAATCGGCCGTATAAATGTTGAACAAAAGAGGTGATAATGCTTCTCCCTGTGGAAGCCCACTCGTGCATGGAAAACCAGAATGTTCTATGCCAACACGAACGGTCATATATCTATTTTGAAGATAAGACTTGAACAATTCTAATAAATCTCCTCTGACGCCATAGTGGTTGAGTTTGTACAACAGTTTTTCATGGCTTATGCGATCAAAAGCCTTGGATAAATCAAAACATATTACATCGACTTTCTTCTCATCAAGAACAGCATTAATTCAATCATAAGTACAGTCCAACAGTTGGGTTACCGTAGATGCACCTTTACTGAACCCATGTTGTTCAGGTGGTATGAGTTTAAACTTATCGAACCAATCAAGGAGTTTGTCTCGTAATATCTTTTCAAGTATTTTGCATGGAATGGAGTTCATGCTTATGGGTCTAAATTCGGTTATAAATTGTGGTTTGGTTATCTTTGGAACAGGAGTTACAATGGCTTCTTTCCAGATTTCTGGCACTTGTCTGCAAATGAGACAAATGTTAAAAATATAGGAAAGTGGGATTGAAAGTTCTCTTGCACATTTTTTGAAGAGAATCTGTGGGAGTCCATCGAAGGGTTCAAACGTTGAGGGTTTAAGTTTTCTGAGGAAACGTTCAATCGCAGAAGCCATGATTATAGGAGTTGTACATGTGTGGCGTAGAGGAGGCCCAAAAGGTTTCGGTGTAGAGTTATCAGTAGAAAATGTGTTTGCAAAATGTTTGGCTAAGGCTTCTGCCTTGTCTAGATCCGTTAGGCAGATAGTACCTAAAGAATCTTTCAAGGCTCCATAGTTTCTTGTTAACATCTTATGATGGATATAAGAGAAGAGATTCTTGGAGTACTGAGAAGAAGCCAAACGTTTTTCATAGTTTGCAAGGAATTTTCTGAGATGGTACTTTATATCAGAACAAACGTTTTTGTACAATGGACTATTATATCGTGAAGTCCTGAAAAGTCTTTCCTTATGGAGAATGAGCGACTGTATGTGGGCCGGATATTTAAGATAACCAATCTTGTGGACCTCAAAGGGAGTGTATGTTGCCATAAGATTGTACATGATATGGCAAAATCTGTAATACACATCGGAAGGGCTAATGTACTGGTTGAAGCATTCTTCCCAGTTTATGCTATTCAATTCTGCTTTCAATGCTTCAAAGTCAATCTTGGAAAAACGAGGATATGGGACAAACGTAACCTTTGGAATATCGAATTTGTAGCGGAATTCAATTATATTATGATCAGAGGTTCCAAAGGGTGCTTTGACTGACAAGTTGTCAACAGAGTGATTATATGCAAGGACCAAATCAAGAATGGTTTCTTCACGTGTCGGTTCATCTACGAATTGATGTAGGTTTAGATTTGAAAGATTTCGAAAAATTTGTTGGTTGTTGATTGATTACTAAAGCGAAAATCTTGGGGGTATCTTATGGGGAGGTTGAAATCACCAACAATCAAGACTTCGGTAGAAGCGAGAGCGTAAACCGAGAGCAGGTCCAAGAGAATAGTATCAGAGTCAGGATCGGAAGTCGGAGGGCGGTAAATACATAACATTCGTAGTTTGGCAAGCGATCGAGGATGGTACAGATCGCTTACTGAGATTTCACAGTTATAATTAGTGTTTATTTCGACTTTTTCACATAAAAGCATCGACTTAACAAATGTACAAACTCCACCACCTCTTCTATGTTTTCTATCACATCGAAAGATGGTATATGGTAGGTCAAACACAATTTCTGCATCAGTTATTTCGGGAGATAACCATGTTTCAGTAACGAAAAGAATATCAGGAAATTTAGAGATCAAAAAATGATGCAAATGAGATAATTTATTTTGTAACGATCTTGCGTTTAATAAGTAACATTTGTGAGAGTTACCTTGCGAGTTATTCAGTTTTTCTGGCGTGCTACAGAAGGTTGGCGGTGAGAATTTGCTAAATTTTGTAAAGAGGATGTATTTTTACGTGAAAGTGAGCTAGCAAGAACTACCTCACCTTTATAAACTACGAATCGATCTTCGAAACTTCTACCTTGGTTCATTCTTTTGGCCTGCTCCCGAAGACCACGCTCTTGTTCCCTCTCCTGTGGTGTCATGCTCCTTCTTATGTAGACTCCCTTGAATGTTGGGGAGTCTCGGAGCAGTCTGGCACGTGAGAGAGCAGAAGTCCAATGACTTCTCGTGGGTAATTCAACCTTTACAAGACGTGGCCTGTCAGTCACTCTATTGCCCATACGAAAAACTTTTACAGGTCTACATTCGATATCCAACGCGTCAAGAACTCCATGAACCTTTTGTTCAGTATCATTTTGACGCTCAGACGCCAAAGAAGCGGTCTGATCGTTTCCTTCCATAAGTTTGAGTAGGCCAGCAATCACGATGCTTCTCTGCCTAACATCCCTCTCGACCGCCCCATCTCCAAGCTCGCCCAAACGCAGTAGGATTTCATTCGTAATATCACTTACCTCGGGTATGTTGAGGTCTAACAGCTTTTTGAATAGTTGAAAAATTGTTGTCGGACCACGATTGTTACCATACCCGTTCTGCGAAATTGAGCCAGGATGTTGTGAAGTGATACTGATATTAGCGCGTTGAGTTAGAGGATCTGCTAGACCATCTCTTTTATTTTGGCGCTGAGATTTCGTGCTTTTTGCAGGCATAGCTTGGATTTGGGGTAAACGAAAGGAGGAAGGAGATTTGCAAAGCAACTACTAACGACACCGGACCAAATACAAATGCGACCAAATATAGTGTCAATTGAATTCAATGGGAAAATCCAGAGAAATTGACGAATTGAATTCAAATGAGGTTCAGTGAAGGACGGACGCTGTTGGAAGGTTAATCAAAACCAAAGTAAACGACTCTGTTCTTAAAGTCTCTTCTGAGGACTCAAAGAACACAAAAGAAACGTTAATAAGAGATGGATAATGAAAGAATTGTACGATGAAAGCGGAAGATGGGAGGGAGAGAGTAGAAATGCCAACCGCTCACGGCCAGCGCACGTGCGAGAATGAATGTAATATGATAATGATAATATGATATAGAACATATGATAATGTATATCACGCCTGCTACCATGCAATCCTCGTCTTTACCGAATGGACAAACTACACAGCTTGGAGTCAAGCAATTTCGATCATACAGTCTATTTCTGGCCAACTGTCTCTTTGGGTTGGACGACAAAAACATTGTACATTCGTGCATCCCGCCTAGGCAAGCCTGTTCGCAGAAGATCCTGCGCAGGCATTGTTCAAGGAAAGATCTTCAACCCTCTCATGTTCACTTTCAGACAATCTCAATTCTTCTATTAGGCTCATGTTGAAGCTTCAGTTCAAATTCAACGTTGAATGAACCGCGTCTTTTCCGAGATTCTTCCCATTTCCCTTCTTTAAAGAGCTATTTGCACGATTTTTCTGTGGTGGGCATTCTCAAAAATGTCAACAACTTCTTGTTGAAACTTATCTGCACTGAGTATGCATTGAGTACACCATCCAGAAAATCCACGACAAAGATTGACCACATCCACTATACCTATAGGGCACTTGCTTGCCCCAGAGTAGGCGGACCACTGCAGGCAACTGATATATCGATAAACCTCCATTCCAAAGCATTTTTGTAGCGAGCAAACGGTACCTAAAACGACTCCGTGATTACGGCCATGTTATGTGCAAAGATTCATCTTATTAAGCTCCCGAATCCCAAATCAGCTTGCAGATATACGTGCTTCGGGAAAAGATAACCAAAACCCCGAATCTTTCGTATTCTCGCGAAAAATGGCCATTTTTCGCTGTCATAACTATATATCTGCTAATCTTTAAAATGCTTACCTCGCGAAACTGACCATATCACCACACTACTTTTATAATATTCAATGCAATCGAGTACGCCTAGTTGTACCATGTAAACAAGGTGATCTTTCATACGAAACCGAGAAATTTTGCGGCCTGACCTTATTTTCCTCAATCCATGTACGTGGCTAAAACCCACTAGTAGTGTTGACAAACTTTCCTCTTTATTGGAATAGTATCAGCAGCGCTAGCACTCTTTTCATGTAGAATTCTTGCTTTTGTCCTTTGAAATCAAAGTCGAGGTGTCTGCACATTCTCTTGCTATAGATTTTAGCCAAAACCCTAAATTTTCTGGATATAACGTATCCCGCATAGGTCTGTTCGGAACCGTATGCTAGTAGACCATAAATGATTTGTCTCAGAAATTTCACCTTCAGATGCTCGAGCTTGTATTCCACTTGATCCACTATGACTTTTTCGCGCAAGCAGTTAGACCATATGAGTTTTGTTCCCAAGTTATTTCGGAAGTTTTTTTCATGAGCAAAGGTGTTCACATGTTCACACTTCTTTATTGTCCTCCAAACAGTTATTCATGGCGCGCTCAGGTTCAGGCCTGCTCAACTATTAAGAAAATGGTCGCGAATCGAAGTGACCAATATAAAACAGCTCTTAACTTAATAAGCAAGCTGTCTACCACATGTAGCATTCAACGATGATTTCGAGTCTGTATTTCATATCTGCTTGACGCCTTTATGGAAGAAGTTATGAGCAGTTTTATTGCGAAAAAATAGTACATAAAAATTGCGAAAATGAGCATACTGTTGCACTTTCGACTCATCTTCAGGCTTTACAAACTTGATCTTTGCATGCACTAGTTCTTAGCAAGTTAACGGAAAACGGCTTGTGACTTCGCCTTCGCAGATGGCAAGAATTACCGATCAAAGGCTCGAAGTCATCGTCTTATGCTGCATCTAATGGTATGCAACTTATTATATTTGGACTGACCGCTTCAGTTCCTGACCATTCCGTAAGAATCGAAGCTGTAAGGCTTGGTTGTCTGTCAGATTCATCCCTCTTTCTGCGAGGTAAAGTTTTTGCATACCTCCTCTCTTGTTCAGTCTACGTTGCTGGAGTAGGAATAGAGTGACGGCGCTGATTTCTGATTTTTGATTTCTCAGTAGATCGACTTTCTTCTTCACTAATTTTGACGCATCATGTACTACAGCTGAGGTGGATTTATCTTTTCGCAGTGGAAGGTAAGCACCACGCGAGATATTGAAAGACATAACGGACATCACTTAAGTTGCCGATAACTCATTCTTTACGTATGTCCACTCTTCAACAAAAAGAGCGGTATAGGAAACAGCGGAAGAAAGATTGGACTCTCGCTTGCATCACAACTATCATATCAAAATAGTGAGCGAAATCTTGCCGTGTGTCATATCCGGTGCCAGCATACAGAGCGACTGACTCAATACTTTTTCTGGCAGAAATCTTTAGGCGTTTTATAAATTTAAACGCACTGTATTGATAATACAGCCAACTGACTTCTTTTATGACAAAGATACTGTAGAAAAAAAGGTATTATATACATAAAATGGGTCTGTCAAAGACGCGATGAAGTTTATGGCATTATATGGAAGTAGTGCACAGTGCTCGCAAATCTCCATCTGGTCGCTTCCCAAATTTGGCTTTCTCCCTTCTCATAGCTTCCTCAAGTAGTCGTTGTAGCTCTTTCTTCCTCGTATCTTTATAACAACCAATTAGTAGGGCCAAAAGCCATGTTTGACCCATAGCCACTGCAGCACATACGGTAACGACAATAATGGTTCCAATATCAATCGCACCTAAAAAAACGATTCACATGAAGACTTTACAAGAGACAGAAAATCTTACTTTTATGATCGAGATAGTCTGCATTTAGGCCTCTAGCTATGAAATCTCCAATATAAGCCGGGTTGTTTGTGATAAAATAGGTAAGCACGCATGTGATCACAATGCATACAAGAACAGTAGTAGTTTTGAGCACTATCTTTGGCACAATCCACGAAGATAGTTCCTTCGTAATTCCATACCAAAATGTGAGAATACCCAACAAATGAAATAGGTAGAGCAGACCAATTGAGTAGCATGCGGATGTCACAAGAGGTGTGTACCTGCAAAAAAGCTGTTGCGGTTGACTTATCCGAATATATTGACTCGCTAAGACTACAACTCTCCGAAAATTACATTTTGGGAAAAGTTGCATAATTGGGATAGTTTAGCAAGCTCTACACAATTATAAGCACTCCTAAAACGAAATTTCTACACCGTAAGTCTTCAAAGAATGATAAAACCCACCCAAAATCTGCCCAAGGTCAAGACAAAGCTGTAGCATTAGCACGATTTTCTGATAAAATTACTTGAGTGGTGACGTAAGTATGCTTGTATCAGAAGGATCGCAGAGATTTTTTTTTCGCAAAGGGTGGAATCCGGCCAAAATTGCGGGTTTTGCGGGACTTGCGGGACTCGCGAGATTTAGTTATAACTTCTTCTAAAACATTTTTATTTGGAACCTGCAAAAAGAACTGACTTCAGCTTGATGAGACGAATCTTTTAGCTTACATCATGCCAGTAGTTTATGGTGATACGGTGCATATGATACTACTTTGTTATTTTCAAAATTTGTTCATATGAGCAACGATACATGTTGATAATCTTATAACACGTGCCAGTAGAATACAAAAACGGACATGTTGTATACTAAAAGATTTGTCTCATCAAGCTGAAGCCAAATCTTGTTGCAGATTCGAAGTAAAATTGTTTGAGAAGAGGCTATAACAAAATCCCGCAAGTCCCGCAAATCCCGCAAATCTCGCAATTTTGACCGGATTACAACGCTACAACGTATTCACTATTGTCATGCCTCAAGATCCATACCTTTGATACATAGAGCCACGTACTCTGGTGACCTTCACTTTGAGCGTCATGATAGAACACAACCTTCACCTAGAGGGAAGTCATGCGGGGCGAAGCCCCGGATATCATGGCATAACTGATGACATATCCATATAGGGAGAGATGTGAATGAGGTAAATATAGTAGTGACATCCAAAAGAAGCTCAAAAAACCGAAGGATTACGTTTTTATCCCCCTTTTTTGCCAAAAAGACTTTTATTCAAAAATTCAATTAGGAACTGAAGCAGAATTTTCAATTAATCTTTCTCTAGACTTCGATTGAGCGTTGGAAGTTCTTGAAAGCCGCTGGAGTTCAATAGAAACGAGAAACTGCGCTCAAATCTTGCGCAGAGAGTCGCTACAAATGAGTCTATCTCGTTATGGAGTGATTTTCAAGACCCGCAACGTTGTCAGTTCTCCTGGACGTCTCATGAGGATCACAACGATATATAATGTTACATGGTTTCGTTATGATCCCGCGGAGATCAATGACCAGAGCCAAATGCCCCGCCGGCTCTGGTCTGTCTCCGCTGCTCGTCTGCGTCTCCTCGCTACCCCAAAAGCGGGGCGCGGGGCATTTTGCTCTGGTACCCTTTTCTTCGTTGTTGGGAGCTCAATTTCGACAATCTATATATCATATTAAAGCTCTTGATCTCTATTTTCACGATGACAACGTCGCAAGACTCCTTTTTATAATTTAAACGAGAAATATCGGAAAAACGGAGTTTTCGAAAACCTCTTGTTTTTTCTTCAGTTGAACTCTTTTCACTCGGTTTTTTTGTGTATTCGATAGGTCTTGTTTCTGTCTATGATGTAGATAATGTCGCCGAGCTTACTTCTTTGCTTATGCCGGTTTTTTTGTAAAAATTACCAAAAAGTGCGTTTTTCTTTACCTTGATCTTTTTCAATGCTTTTGCAACGAATTTTCTCCAGCTTGGACGTTACTTGCTCAGAATGATGAGCGGAAAAATCCAGACAATGTCGCAGGATACGAAACGACCATGCGGGGGTGAAAATTCAAAGGACGCGTCAAAAATCAGATTGGCGTCGATGTGCAGCATAACTTTTCAGACATGTTCAACATGTTCAGTTCAGTTGTTGACAAGTTTTCCTTCTTTCGGTCTCCCAACTACCGCCACAGCTTACGCTTTTTTTCAATAAGAAAAGAACTTTGTTCCTGTTGCCACCCAATTTAACCGGCAATTCTGAAGACGAAAATGTGCGTAGGAAACCACCAAGATAAGGTTTCAAATTTGGTGATGTGTTAGCTTCTGTTTTATATGAATTTTTCGAGTTTCCTAGTTCAATTCAGATCTCTAAATTTCCATCTATTTTTTCTAAAACAACCTTCACTTTTTATAGGGGGCAAGAACTCAAACAACTATCACTTTCTAGGCTCTGTCTCTTGACTATCGAAGGTATGATCGGCCCCCCAGATTGGCGCAAGGGAAGCTCCGATAGCGAACCGATAAATTTATCAACTATGTTCCAACACTGAACAACCGCACCGCTGATAGGCTCGCTAGCTTCGGCCCACGCGGTAGAGAGCCATTGATAAGTTACGAGAACTGATGGTAACATCGAATAGCACATGCTCAATGTTTTTTTGATGTTTTAAAAGCATTTAAACTCCTGAAGAATACACGAAGTCACAGAATGGGTTCTTCTGTCTTGTTAAAAACAGATTCAAAATGTAGATGCTGGAGGTCAAAATATTAGGTTGTAAAGAAAGTTCTGCCAATTCTTCTCAAAATCATAATATCAAAAATGAATGTGAATGCAAGTGGTTGGTCTGCGATGTTTTAGTATGCGATGGCCTCAGCTACCAAATAAGCTATTCAGCTTGACGAAATAACGATAAAACCAGAAGAAATGCCCAAGAAAGGAGGAGAATCCGTTGCGCTTGGGTCTGCAAAATGGCACATTTTGCATAGTATAGGCACGCAAAACGTGCAAAATCTCGATTTGAAAATCCGTTTTTTACCGTTTGTATTGGTTAGATAAGGTAATATCTATGATTTGCTTCGATATCTGGACATTTCCCCAAGAAATAGCATACTGATTTCAGGACGCAAAAAAATCGGGCCTCTTTTGTACACAGTAAGTAATGTCTACGCTATCTTACTCCATTTGAATGTAAGTCATGGTTTCTCAATGTGAAGGTTTTCCAAAAAAATTCTGGCAGTGTTCGGATTATAAAATTTTTCTCGGTGAAGTTGCAACACACAATGATGCATACTGAGTTGCTAAAGATTTGCTGATTACAACAATTTTTATTGCACACGAAAAGACTATTAGTCTAAAAAATCATAGTGATCCAAACTCAAAATTCGGGGAACCTCATTAATTCTGTTACAACCTAATATAAAAATCGGAATCGAATAATATTCATTCGAAAAATTTTCAAAAATCAGTTATTCGATATTCGTAGATTCGATGAAAATTTCCGTTCGTTACAACTATAGTGTATACTGAGTTTATCGTTCAAAAACCATTTTTCAATCTGGCAAATTCGCAGTTTTAAGACCTTCAAAAACGATGAGCGTCTTGAGGCAAACACTTCAAATGTGGTGGTTTTTGCGTCTTTCAATTGGCCATGCAGCAAAGGAAAAAGTTTATAGCGGTAAGTGAATTTGGACGCGGCTGGACCGCGTTCGCCTGCGACAATTTTGAAAACTAGTGATGTGATATAAAATTGGAAAACATATTGAGTGGAAGGAATGGACACAATGAATTGAAAAAAAACAACAGATTTAGCATGATCAACAGATTTCTAGTAGAAAAATCGCAGAAGTCGTATGTAAAGAAAAATGGTCCAAAACTAGTCTCAGGTCTAATTCCAAAGTAATCTGATAAAATCTGGAACAACCTACCCGAAATGAAACAATAGCTGAAGACATTTGACGAAAACCGATGTCAAGAAACAAAAATCGACGACACCAATCAGAATTCCAACAGCCTTAGTACGCTTGTCAATACAGAATTGAAATCGGGACTTTATGTCGAGATCACCCACTGACAATCTCATTATTTGGTTTACATTGGATGTCTATAATAAGTTTGAAATTTACCTGATCTAGACCAACAAAGTATCAAATTTACCTGTTTCGAATAAGCAAGTGAAGAGAGATTGGGCTTTGTGAACGAGGTGAGATCCGGTGGACTGCGACGCGGAGTAAATTCAATTCGAAAGTCCTCGCAAAGTGTTCAATACTTCATATCTACTCAATTTTTGGGCGACAAGAAAGAGTTTTGCGAAAAAATCAAACTGAAGGAAATTATATTTACTGAAGTACAGACGGATTGAGATTCACTGAGTCGGACAGATTATGTTATTGACCTATAGGAAGGTAGAAAGTGTGTGTACTTTTTTAGCTTAAGATATTGTGCCGTAAAATCCCTTCTTGAAGAAAATGAATCAAGATTAGAGGAAAGGCTGCCTTAGATCCATTGGCAATGAGAAGCATATGGGTGAGTGTTATTCTCGAAGATACAGCTTCTTTTCGTCTCCGTCAAAAAATTTTGGTTTAGTGTAAGTCAATATTTGATTTTTAGACCTTATAGTAGAATGAGTGAGTCTAACATTCACTATCCACCAGGTCTGACATTCACATCCACCATGAAGTTGCAAGCCGTTACGCACTCCGTTAATTCTCGGGATGCTTCTCAAAACTTTTGCGGGTCCCTAGCCCCTAAAATCTACAAAAAGGAGGCGTGTGAGTGACAGGAATACATTTTTTTAGACTAATTCGAATTTTTAAATAATTTTCAAAATTCCTTTCTATTAGTCGCAAGTATAAACAAATCACTTGTGCATTTTTAAGCTTCTATAAGTAACTTAACAAAAAACTCGCGACCCATTTTCGGGAGAGGAGGGGGGGGGGGTCCGCCACTGGTCTAGGTATTCTAATATCATCTGTGTCTACAGATGATATTTTCTATGATTTCTATGAAATTTAGTGCTTTTTTAAAAAATATCTAGATACCTTAGTAAGCTGAAATACTGCGGTTTTATCTGATAAAACACCCTTCTCTAAACGTAGAATTAGTAAAATTGATCTCAAGCATGTAGATGATTTATATAACTGCTGTTTTGCCGTCTCCTTCTTTTTCGGGACTTTTTCTCAATCTCTTAACATCCTCCGACATGACTTACCCTAATTTCACGCATGTAGGACGCGGGGGATTTTTTTCTAAAATCATACACACAGATACGACGGAGGACTTCGCGATCAAAAAACTATTTACAGTGCTGCATATTGCCTGAGAGTATCGTGCGGTATAAGTCGCATTTCCTAAACATAACGAGCCGGATGATCGGCACGCTTAAAAATCGAAAAAGGTGGGTCTTATACGCTTGAAATTAGGGTACATAGCTCATGATTTGATCAGAATCAAACTAATACAGCTTTTCCATTCCGGAAGTTTCACATGTCTTCTCGTATGTGATTAGTTTAATCTCTTCATTTGGCTTACGATTTTATTATTTCTCTCTTTCTTGGAAATTCTGGACTGGGACTTATAAAACAAAACCTTGGACTTTGCAGCTAACAACCAATACTCCAAGTGTTTTTGGTTTCATAACATTTCGGAGGAACATTAGTGGGTCTTGATGCAAAATGTTTATTCATACCAACTTTACATATTCACAAAATGCATAAAATTTAACAAAAGTCAAATAAACGAGATCGATAAATGAGCTAAGGGGAATATAAAAACTGACTAAACTTAACTAAAGAATCACACTGCCCCGTATTTTCGTCATTATGGGTTGTTTGAAAACACAGAAAAAAGAGAAAATATAACTGAATGAGAAGGAGATCATATTCACTAACGATAAATAATAAATAAGTGAAACTACTTGCACCAAAACATGAGAAAATTTCGAAGAGTCAAATAAGAAAGATTTACAGTTCATGAGCAGAAAAGACTGCACGATCTGAACTCTGCTAATTTCGGGAAATTTTTGACATTCTGTCAGAAATCAAAATGCCAAAGTAATAATGCCAAAAAGCTCAAAATTAATAAAGCAGTGGGGGAAGCATTGGACATTATTGGTTGCTGTATGTACTCAGTTTGGCGAGTATTTGTTGCCCGAACACGGGGTTCAGGCATTCGTCTGCGAAGTGATAGGAGCGACTTACACGATGCTGGTAGTTGATCCGATATACCAAGTTGGGAATAGAGTTGTTCAAAACTAAAATTGGAAGTATAGGATAACTTGCATTGAGTTAGGCTACAACCAGAGTTGCCGTGCCGACGCCGTTCCAGCATCGTTCCAGAGCCGTGCCAGCGCCGTGCCAGAACGTAGATCGAGCATATAAGACACTTCCACGTGATTTCGGGCACGTCGCTAGCACATCACTGGAACAGCCCTGGCACAGCGACAACTGTAGACTTTGTCTCAATTATTAACAAAAATCGATATATCGCTTTTTTACATCTCTCACCTGCTAAATCCCACTGTAATGAAACGTAGCATCATAACAGCTGCTTTGTCGCCACAACCACCTCTCGTCACCGGCTCCACGCATTCAATCATCGCACCCAGTTTTCTAAAAATATAAGAATTAATTCTTTTTTTTCATGCATGACGTCACCACAAACCTGCACAGCGTCTCGAAATGATTGCGTAGATTGTGTTGTTCTTTGCGCATGACAGTGGTCGAGAAGCGATTGCTAGCTACGAGTGATTCGTTGATCTCACGACGACATTCTTGCATAGCCACTGGTTCAAACCTTAATTAAAGGATTATGTAATACGCTATGTTCCAATTCTTCTTTCGTTTTTTCCCCTTTTTTCTTTGTTTTTCCTATGTCTTCTCGTGATTACATTAATGCTAAAGTATTACTGCTTAAATATACCTCCTTTAGCTCCCTCCCCTTCCCCTGCTTCCCGCCCCCAATTTTTTTAACCGAATAACCACTGTCTCTTTGCCCCAATCAGTTTTTCATGCCTCATTCCCGCAATTTTTTTTCGCATGGAGCTCAATGAGTGTCGAAGAGCAACGCGATCGCGTGCGCTCCTATGCTTTTCAATAGGTCGAGAGTGTGCATTCAAAATTAGGCTCTTCAGCATGTGAGAAACAGAAAAGCGCGAGCATAAAGAGTAAGTCATTGAAGGATGTAAAATTGGAAACAATCATGGTGTGCCGCTCTCGCACTTTTTACCCCATCTTCCGAGCAATGGACCAAAATAAAGTCAAATGAACTGTGCCATGTGAGGGTATGATTTGCATGTATTTGCTTTATGAGACAGATATCAAAACTGCCCTTTCCAAGGCTCGGCACGAGTTGGCTTTGCGAAAATGCAAAAAACGATGTCAGCTCGACTTTACCAAAATTTTATAAAGTCCTTTGACCCTAAACCATAAATGTAAAAAATTCTCAAAAAACGAAACGTCGACTAAAAAATGTCGTATTTTTCGGTCACAAAAACGATATCCCCTTTGCTTTTCGCTCCCAAAACGATATCCAGCTTGCTTATAAGCCACCTGTGCCGAGCTCTGGCCCTTTCATTCCCTCTCCCCCTCCCTCCCCACCTTACCCTAATCGACCAATATTTCCCAATGATGTTCCCAGAAAACCACCTATATCGTATTCATATCTGTCTCAAATATCTCTCCCAACACCAGTAGATGGGGAAAATACCCCGACATCACATAACACTACACCCAACAGCTGAAAACGAAAGAGAAAACTCACTTTGCTAAGCACGGCAGCGATTCGAAGAACTCTGAAAGAAAATCTTGTTAAGCAAATAAAATCGAATATTCAACGAAATATGGTTTTTCATGTTTGAAGAAGGTGGAAGGATTAGAGAAGTAAGCTATGAACTCAAACTTGTGAAGCTTATTCACTGTTTGCCAGAGGTGAGAGAATAAAGAAGTGGGAGAACATTGTGACTTAAATAAGTAAGTAAGCAGTAAATCGTTCAATTAAGTGTAAACCATGCAGTCTGTACGCCAAACGTTTTCAAAATTCTCTTTTTTATTTTGAAATGAGTGGCTCAGACTCTCAAAAAAATTTTACGTTTGGTTAAAAATTGTCGAAACAGTGACTATTAAGTTACAAACAACAACACAGCATTAGCTTAGATATAGCGAAAAATTCATATGATGTGGAGAGGCCTCTTAGAATCAGAGAAAAAATTTTTTGAACGGCTTCTATTATGGCCTGAGAACATTCCGCAATACTTTTGAATCTCCTGTTTTCTATCCTTCCAGTTCCACAAAAAAAGCAATTATCTATATCTGCAACGTTCTTGGGTAAGATAAAAGATATGCGAGTCCTTAATGGCATCGTAGACAGTATTATTTATAGAAGCCTTATCTTAACAGTATCGGAGGCCGGTCTACCGTTTATCGAAAAAGGGAACGATCACACGATCCTTGCACATTGTGATTTTGACTGAAGAGGAAAGAGGATAAAGCAAGACATATCTGGAACGCCATCACCAAAAGTTATATCAAAAATAAAATTTGAGTTCATGACGCCATAAGCGGTTTTTTGGTACATCTTCAGGCAACCGAAAAAGTCAAAGCATTTCCATTTGTCAGAAATGTCCCGCTGAATTTGTTAGCATTCGTCAAAGATTAGTCGTCGCAGAAGGCAAATGTCATTGGGAGCACGCGCAAATTCGCGTTTTTTCTTCTTTCTTGGAGATGTAGTTGTTTCCAAGGCCATGTACTTAGGATAAATTTGTACAAAATTAACAGAGTTTACCCACCCCCATCCTTTCCCCTTTCCCATCCCCGACAAGCATATTCTCATGATAATCTTGCCTGCACCCAAGCTCGTCAAGCATCATGCAAGCCTGACTTACTCTTCTTGAGTGACATCCCACGAGGGTCATAAACTTTGCGGCAAAGATTAATGTCGATGAGTCCTGTCGCAAATGATAAATATTCTTTTGATGTCAGGATAATAGCATAGAAGAACAAGTAATAAAAACACAGAGTACTTTATAAGGTCAATGCGACATTTTTGAAGGCTTTTATGGCCACATATTCGAGCAAGCGAGGTGAGATGGTATTACTGGCAAGAATTTTTTGAGAAATTTAGCTCTCTGCAGTATTTGGGAAAGACTTGGGGAAAAGCAATAACGACATCAGATCCAGGAGATAGAACGAGAAGAGTTAGCAGCGTGCAAGAAAAATCTGAATACCTCGGTTCCTGAGTGGAAACTAGTTGAAAGCCTACGAAAACTGAGCTCAGCGCATGCAGAAGCTGATTTATTCGTGGCTCAGAAAACTCAGCTTTGAATTCTAGCCCAGTACCGTACTCTTTCCGACCAGCATCATCGCGTACGGTATGAGTGAGGGTTTAGGGATGAATTTCTCGACCAGGAATAAATCGTATGAGCTGTCCCTTCGGCAATGGTTTAGCAAAGGCCTTTTAAACATATTACTAATAAGAAACTCAGCTAACCAGATTTACTCGGACACTGCACTTGTGAAAAATGAGGGAAATGCAAGAAGAGAATAAGGCAAAATCTTTCTAAAGACGAGAAAAGCCGAGAGCTGGAATCTTTATTCTAGGCAGAATATTAAACTACAAAATCTAACCTTTCTTGTGATCAACGCAGATGAAGCGAATGCCTGCATAGGTTTGACGAACTCTTGCTGACGATTCTGTGGTTTTCTCGCATTGCTCCAAACATGCATCGACTTTGACGTAAGCTCTGATAAATGATGTTTCGGGTGCCAAGAAAGCTCATAAATCTTTAGACTTACTGGCAAATCAACGAGAAAGCGTCTTGAGTATGCTGACGATCATTTGACTGACCAGCAAGTTGTGTGAACGATAGTTGCCCGAGTTGCTCGCTTTGCAGCATTGGGGTTTGCTCCAGTTGCTATAAAATGGATTCGCTTTATTTGACTTGTTCTATAAGCGCATTCATTAACTTTTGATTTTGCAGGAGGATTTTGATACTGATTTTGAATTTCCAACACCAGATTTGATCTTTGGGCGCTAAATTTGAATTTTTAACAGCAAATTTGTCCATTGCTTACGTTTTGAATTGGTATAGCTAGATTTTAAGTGCTTTTGAGTACAAAAACTATAACTTCTAATTTTAAGTCAATTCCACCTTGAGCCAATGGTTCTTGCTTCGAAACCGTGACAAAAAGCCAGAACGATCAAGAAGTGATCAAACATATATGTAATTCATAAAAATGCAATAAAGCACAATTATTAAATGAGCGTAAGATAAGCTTACAGTCGAACAACGACTAGTAGAAATGCAAATATCTGAGCTTTAAGCAGTTTTTGAGAAAAAAAATAAGGATCTAAAATGAAGAAGTTTCATCAAAAGTCTTGTTAGATATAAAATTATGATGAGGAAAAAAGATTGAGAAAAGCAATTTTTGTTTCTCAAGTACGGCATAATTTAATAAAATACTTTCTTCTTCAAATTATGCTAAGATTTTCAAGTGAATCATAGGAGTTAGGATAAAAGCAATCGACATTTACTCACGCTTTGCATTTCCCGTACGCATGGCTCGATACAATCACCTCCGGGTAGAGCACCATGCACAATTGAGGCTGAAAAGCTCAGCAGTACAATAGAAAAAAACAAAAAGCCGAGAAAAAATCGTCTAGTTTTTCACTGCTTATGCGAAGCTCAAAATACTCACCAATGAACAATATAAGTCCAGTGAGCAATATCCAACACTTCATCTTGGGTTATCCACACGAGAGAAACATCTGTCACCTAAAATTTAAGACTTTGCAAAAAAAAGTTCACTGCTCTCGTACGGAACTTCAAAATTCTGTGGTACAGTAAGAATGAAAAAGTAAAATCATTTTTGAGACAGCTGCTTGGAAGTGAAGCAAAGGAAAATTCATTGTTTGTTTTTGTAGCATAAGCTCATGGTAGCTCGCTTTGAAGAGTAGCCATCCCTTGAGGCTCATAGCTCAGAAAAACGACAAGGAGCGCATATTTATCATAGCTATATATTTTTGAATGGGTCAACGATGCATAGAAAAAGTATGGTTTCCTTACAATCTGTAGTCGCCAAGAGAGCATTAGTGATATGGCTTAATTTAAGACAATGATAGACGACATTCAAAACTGAACTAATATCACAAAGTTCAACATTGCTTCTCTCAATTTAGAGCACTTGAGAGAGCACGTTACCTCTTTTCTCTTCCCCCACCCCCTTCCTCACCATTTCTGATTCATTTCCCAGTAAGTGTAGAAAAGCTTTCATTCTTGTGATTAGCTGGTAACTTATCCGACGAGGAAAATGAGGATAAAGAAAATTTGGTCATTCCCCTCCCCCCCCCCTCTCCCTCCCCCACTACTCTCGTGTTTAAAAACACAACACAACCACACAACCCAGGAACTTCCACAGGACAAGAAAAATTTGCGCCGGTACCAAGGGATTTTGTTCACTATCAGATGTGAGCGTCAAAAATGGGAAATTCCACAAAGTTTGTCGCCGACTAACCGAAAAATAAACGGAAACTTAAACACTTTCCACAAAGGGCTGCCAGGGTTTCTTCTTTAGATGCCCGGCGGAACTTCCGGTCAAGTGTCAAAGTAAAAGCATTTCTCGGAATGACCGTATCGGGAAGCTTTTGTTTGTCAATGTCAGGGCTCGGCACAACTGGCACCGGGTCAAGCTGAGTATCGTTTTTGTGGCAAAGACACAGAAATTTCGACATTTTTGTGAGTCGACGTTTCGTTTTCTTAAGAGTTTTTTACGTTTAGCGTTTAGGGTCAAAGGGGAGGGACATTGTACGAAATTCTCAAGCTCAAAGGGGACCTCTTTTTGAAATTTTTTTGGTGCCAGCTCGTGCCGAGTTCCTGTTTATTGAAAACGATTATAGAAGGAAAACAGTCATGATTTTCGTGAAATTTTCAACACTTTCTACCTGAACTCAAGGCTAGGGATAGTTAAAAATAGAAGTATCAAAAGGAGCAGCCATAGGATCCATTCTACATAGATAGCCCTTACTGTATATGAAGGCAGAATATTCGATGCTATGTTTTGCTCCATTTTAAGACATGTCGCCCATTCTCTCACTATATATTCTGACACTCTTCATTAGGATCTTGCATAGCTAATGTTATTAATTGAGCGCACTATTGACGGCGTTCAAGATATGGGGCTTTGGCCATAATGGTCAAGCCGAACTTCATAGTGATTTGTTGGCAATAGGGCAAGTGCACGTCGGAAATTAGAGCAAGGAGCATTTATTCGTTTTTTGAACTTTGATGAAGTTGTATGTACCCATGACTCACCAGTGTGATTCCAATCGCTGCGCAATTTGGCAATGTGCCAACTGTTAACGACTATAAGTGCAACTTGAGTATATTAAAACTATGGCTCTTATGTCAGGTTACATTAGATTTAGAGATATCTGGCACATCGCCAAATCGAGCGAAATGCTGAGGATCTATTCAAGAAGCAGGCAACTGTGAGACGAAATAAAGTCGTTTTATAGCTTTATTCAAAAACGGTATCGATCGGAATAAATGTCCGACAAAAAACCTTTTATAGCAGAAATGGCAAAGTCATGCTTATAATGAAACCCATTCCCAAAATTTCCCTTCTCTCCAGAATTTCCTTTACTTCGGATAGATATAAGCGCAGAAAGGGGCAAGGATGTGAAAGGGAGATGAGATGGAAAGGAATGTCATTTTACATTTCCAAACATCATTTATGTAGTGTATAATTGTGACTAAGAAACCACCACCTGTTTTCGGTCCTCCACAGCAACCCTCAGTGTGCTGCGAAGGAAACCCGCATAGAAAGGACCACATTATTTGATCAAAATTTTTACAAGGTGAAACAGTTAAAAGAACAACACCAAAACTTTGTGAAAGATTTGTAAATTTTGTTTCTGTTTTTATGAGCCTCTTCTAAAAATTTACCAAGTGTTGTGAGCAAACAACCTTGTCTCATTCTTGAGAGAATTGATATTGCTTAGGTGATTTCTTACTGATTGATCTAGAGGTCTCCCTGGACCGAAGACTTTGGTAACACCAAAAAAAATATTTGCCGAAAAAAACCTTCCTTGAACTTTGTTTACTTTATTCATCTGTTATCGAGGCTCCTCTCAAGATGACAAAAATTCTGAGAGAGAAACTGATCGATTTTACCTGCAAGAATGATGGTTTCGAAAATTCGGAAATTATTCTAATACTCATTATATGACCAGTTCAGGATCACAGCTCTGAAAGGAATAAGAATGCTGAAAAGTGACAATACTCTTCTCTTTTTAGAAGAAGCAAAGAATCATTGCAAAATAGTGATATTCATGATTTATAAAGAAAGCTTTAAAGTACCCTAATTTCAAGCGTACAAGGCGCACCTTTTTCGATTTTTCGACTCAGTCCCAGAGGCGTTTTAAATTATCTCGGAAAGCGATCCTTATGCCGTACAATTCTCTTAAGCAATATACAGCAAGGCATAAAGTCCTTTGGTTGTAAAGTCCTTTGGCTTGTCTGGGCTGGTCGATTTTGAAAAAAAATACCCCGCGCCTTGTGCGCGTGAAATTAGGGTAATTCAATGTGCGAAGATACACAGGACCCCAGAACTTCATAATTGAAATTATGTACTGATTTTGACAATAAGCAACGCAAAACCTCGAAATCTGACATGAGTCACACGGAAAAGATTTGGTCAGCAATAAAACTAGCTCAAACGAAAAAACTTCTCACATCAAAGCAAGCGATATCCCTCGACACTTTTCTCCTCCACAGAAAACAGCCCTTTACGTTCTAAAATTGCCCCGATGTTCCTAGCGGTGCTTTTCGAGTGCGAAATTGTTCGAACAATTTATCGTTCGAGACACCAGCGCCTTGGAGAATAAAGCGGTTGTTTGTGGACGCACGTCGAACATCAGAAAGGCGGCTGTAGAGAAAAATTGCCGGAACTGAGCGTAATCTAATTTATTTATCGTACATGCCCCTGAGGCACTTTGGCGTCTTGACTAATAAGAGCTGTATTGTTCCTTTTCTAGGAATATATCCGAGCCTTAACTCCGATATTTGTTATGATGAGCCTGGGAATCAAGAGCTGCAGAAAAACTGAAAACTGATCAAATACGTCGTAGGAAGCTCAAGGAACCAGCTCAAGAACGGGCAGTTTTTTAAGCACTAAATTATTTGTTGAAAAAGACTACCAATTAAGCTCCGACCTCCCTTCCTCCCTAAAAAAGGTTTCAAACTTTTCGCGAGTGATCGATGATTCATAAAATTGCGCTAATCCTTTGATGTTTGACTAGGTTAGATAATCTGAATAAGCTTCAAGATGGAAAATCACCCTTGAAAAATTTCCGGTTGAGAGATTGGAAAAAGCGATAACTGCGAAAAAATTTAGAAGGCTTCCGCAATGTTCCAACCATGAGTAACGATAATTGCAGTTGGAAGATGACAAAAAACGAAAATTCTTAAAAAATGTTTTTAGAGGGCCAAGTTCATACCTTCGATACATAGAGCCATGTACTCTGGTAACCTTCACTTTGAGCGTATGATAGAACACAACCTTCACCTGGGGAGAAGTACAGAAGTCATCCGGGGCGAAGCCCCGGAAATTGTGACATAACTAATGACATAACCGTATAGGGATGAATTTAAATGAGGCATATATAGCAGTAACATTCAAAAGAAGCTAAAAAAAACCGAAGAATTGCGTTTTTATGGCCTTTTTTGTTAAGAAGAAGGTTTTTATTTGAAAATTCAATCAAAAACTAGGGCAAAACTTCTCAATAAACCTTTCTCTGAACTGCGGTTGAATGTTGGAAGTTCATTAAAGCCGCTAGAGTTCAACAAAAACGAAAAACTGCGCTCAAATCTTGCGCAAAGAGTCGCCATATGAATGCTGGTCTATCTCGTTATGGAGTGATTTTCAAGACCCGCGACGTTGTCAGTGCTTCTGGCCGTCTCATGAGGATCAAAACGATATATAATGTTGCAGGGTTTCGTTGAGACCCTGCAAAGATCCACGACCAGAGCCAAATGCCCCGTCGGCTCTGGTCTGTCTCCGCTGCTCGTCTGCGTCTCCGCGCGCTGCGCGCTACCTCGCTACCTCAAATGCGGGGCGCGGGGCATTCGGCTCTGGTACCCTTTTCTTCGTTGTTCGGAGCCCAATTTCGATAATCTATATATCATATTAAAGCTCCTGATCTCTATTTTCACGCTGACAACGTCGCGGAACTTCTTTTTATGATTTAAACGAGAAATCCTCGAAAAACGGCGTTTTCGAAAATCTCTTGTTTTTTCTTCAGTTTAACTTTTTTCACTCGGTTTTTTTGTGTATTCGATAGGTCTTGTTTCTGTCTATGATTTAGACAATGTCGCCGAGCTTACTTCTTTGCTTATGCCGGTTTTTCTTTGTGAAAAATACAAAAAAGTGCGTTTTTCTTTACCTTGTTCTCTTTCTGTGCTTTTGCAACGAATTTTTTCCAGCTTGGACGATACTTGCTCAGAATGATGAGCGGAAGAATCCAGACAACGTCGCAGCGTACGAAACGACTATGCGGGGGTGAAAATTTAAAGGACGCATCAAAAATCAGATTGGCGTCGATGTGCAACACAACTTTACAGACATGTTTAACATGTTCAATTCAGTTTTTGACAAGTTCTTCTTCTTTCGGTCTCCCAACTAACGCCACAGCTAAACAGCGCTTTTTTGAGTGGAAAAGAACTTTACTGTTGTTGCCACCCA